AGCTGCCGACGTGAGCATGGCCGCCGCCAATGGAGGCGCTCGTCGGCAACTATTCTTTGCGCCTTGCCAAAAGACGGCAAGTTGTCGGAATTCATCTAGGTACCTCGTAGATGCTCTAGAACCCCTCCCCTAACCATGTCTAACTCTTATCATCTTGATCACCATCACGGCCTAACCGTGCCACCGCCACCCTAGCCACCAACCCATCCACACATCAAATTAATCCCTCCGCCGCCGCTTGCCGTCGTGGAGAACCGTAACTCCCTCCCCTCTTCGGCCGCAACCACTTTCCCCCTCCATCGCCGCCGTAATCGCCAACCCTAGCGATGCCGGCCGATTTTGGGGAACGGCCGAAGGTAGAAGAAGAGAAGAGAGAGAGAGAGACTGACAGGTGGGACCCGCACACAGTAACATTTCACTTTTATTTGATTTTCAAACTTTAGAAGCCCATATCTTTTAAAATATAGATCCAATTCCAGTGAAACTTGGACCAATATTATTCTAAAATCATTCTATATCTTTTGAGCCCCTTTATGCTATTTTTACATTTTATTTTATTTTCTCTATTTTTCATATTTTTAGATTTTATTTGAATTCCTTTTGAATTTGAATTTTATATATGTCTAACCCTAGGTCTTGAGGATTCTTCTGACTCAATAGATAATATCAATCAATCTCAGGACATCGAGCAAGGCAAGTTACCATATACTTTTTGATCATTTAAGCCTATATTTTACAAATTATTTATTTATAGCCTTCTATTCAATATTCTATTTTCTATGCATACATTAATCATAGAAACCCAGATAATTTAGTATTGCTTACTTTGCTTACAATCTGGTTAAAATACCTTATACTTAGATTGGGACAGTACGTAAGATTTGGTTGATTTCCGGGTGGCTAGTACTGTCTCGATCGATATAAGTTTTACTAGGTACTTATGTCGTACGAACGAGTACGACCGCAGTTTCTAGAATGGGGACAGATCTAGTTATTATGTTAATTAGCAATATGGCACCTCTGTATAGTGGTTCTTATTTTTAAGTCCTCGCGCAGGAGGCAACTATAGCCACGAAGGGCAACTTTAACCATTACCATGTACAGGTAAATAGTTTGTGATACTCGAGTATAAACTATATGGTATATTTCTAAACCCTGATCGAGATGACGTGGTGTCATACGATCAGTTCCCCTTAAATACCTCGGGAACGCCAGAACTCCTCTTGCTGCTGTTAACAATACGTTCAGAGCATATGAGGATATAAGTTCATGGAACAGGTGCCACAATTGTTAATGACTTAATACTAAAGCCGATGATTATCAGCAAGTCGTGGACTGCAGGTAAAGCGTACATCTGCTGCAGTAGAATATCTTTGAAACTATTCGAATAGCTGTACCCATAGAGTTGAGTACCAGGACTCATATGGTACCATGGTTAGAAATCTAAAGTCTATATGTTTTATAAATTCTTGCTATAACTCTTCCAGATTGTCTAGTACTGCTTTTTGCAAAGAACCCTACTATATGTCAATGCATAACATATTTCCATGATAATTTGCTGAGTATTGTAAATACTCATCCTTGCTCTTATAACCCCTTTTTCAGATTTGGGTCAAGAGGAGGACCCTTATGACTATTACTATGATGACCCCGATAACTTAGAGAATCCCTAAAGGTTATACCTCCCTAGTTAGAATGTATAGAAACTTTCGCTGTGTATTAATTAGTTAGGTGAGTACCTATTATTGTAAAATCCTTAGTATTGCAAAACTTTAACATATGCAATGAAGAACCGGTTATATTGTATATATCAATATTTACTGATCCAGGGATTGATACATTAATTCTAGTCGGATCCAAGTTTTTAGTTTTGGGCTCCGACAAAAACCCTTAGTATTGTAAAACTTTAACGTATGCAATGAAGAACCAGCTATATTGTATGTATCGATATTTACTAATCAAGGGGTTGATACATTAATCTTAGTCGGATCCAAGTAAATAGTTTTGGGACCCAACAGCATGGATGCTTAAAGAAGTTGATTGGGGACCAAACCAAGACCTTCTCCAAGTCCACTTCCATCTCACCACGTCACTTTTGGTCCATAGAAGACAAGTTGTATATCATGTTAGCGAAGGCGGAGGAACATCAGAGTCCAATATATGGCATTCACGACTTTATCATGTAAATTTTGGTTGTATAACACTGTTAACGCCAAAATTTGATAAGCTCAGAGTTATCATCGGCCTAGAGTCAATATCTGGAGAGGGTGTCATCATCGGCCCATTGCAGCGGGGAGGTACTCGAAGACACTTCATGTAGAGGGTGTCCCCGAGCTCCCTGTTTTCGCCATGCTGGTTCTGCCGGTCGATGAGCATGTGGAGGACGCCCAGATTTTTCATGCCGCGCATCAGGAACATTGGCATCTGCTGTTGCTTCTGCTCCACTGCCGAGATGCGCTCTTCCATCGCCTGCATCTGTGTGCGTGTCGTTTGCTGCTCCTGCCGCAGCTTCACCTCCTCCGTGATCAGGACGCTCTTATCGTGCTGTAGGCTGTTCCCCACGCTATTGCGCCCGAACTGCGCCACCTCCAGTCACGCCGCCAATGGCAACTGCGACGACGACGACGGGCTCGACGGCAGCGGCCAACGCCGCTTGATCGTCTTCAGGAGCTCCTTCTTCCCCCGCAGTAGCTACTGCACCACTGAGGTCCTTAGCATCAGCCCCAAGATCCCGGCAGCAGTGACTCCCGTCGGACCGAGGTCCCCTTCCCTCTTCCACCCCGTAGCTCATCGGTGTGGAGAAGGACGGCGGTCCACGGCCGGTTGCCTGATACCAGGAAGGAGAAGTCTCAAGAAAGGAGAAAAGAGATAGAAAACAAGAAGGAAAGAAAAGAAATAGAAAGTGGAACCCACTGCAATTTTTTTTATTTTAAGTGAACTCTCACTGACATGTGGGTCCCACGGTTTTTTCTGACTTTAAGTACCACATCATTGCTACGTAGGTGTCATGTCAGCCAAAACCACTATTCAAACCGCCTTGGGACTTTATTTGCACTGGTCTTAAAAATTGAGGGACGCGTTATATATGCTATTGCTGTGTATGGACGAATTTCAGAGTCAGCAACAAATTGAAGGACCCAAAGTGAACTTATTCCTTTTTCTAACTATAAAAAAGATGTTCGTGCATTTCAATGGGATAAACTAAATTTATGATAAACATTAAAAAATAAGGTTATTGATGATCTGACTATTTTCCAAATTATCATGTAAATGTAAAGAACCAAAAACCATCCTACCACCAAATTGTAAATAAATATTTTAATAGTCTAAATTACTTATTACATCTTAACCAATTTCACTGGAGGGATTGAGGATCTGGAAATTTACCCCATTTAAATTCCTTTTAATTTTATAAACCTTTCAATTTATTTTTCCCGAAACCCTATTTTTTAGCACATGTATTTCCTATTAAATTCCCATTACCCAAATTCCGGATCCTATCGATCTCCGCATAAATTTCAAATTCCTATATCCATGAAGCCGAAAATTCGTAAATCCATCCATTCAAATCCCTTTGTTTTACTTGTGAATATGCTCCAAATCCATATTCCCTATATAAAAATTTTATCGATATACCATTCATTCCTTAATCATCGTTTGCTCTTGTTTCTTTCTTCCAAACTCACCATTGGTTAAGTCCCATTCTCAAAAATATTTTAAAGCCAAACATCTATATACTTTTGTTGAAGTCACTCCCTATTTTTATGAATGTCCCAATTTATTATTTTTATTAGCTAAAACATATTCTTTTAGCCATCGCCCTTTTTCATTTTTATCTAAATTCCATAACTTTTACCTCCAATGATATCCTAATGTTTTCCTACCAAAGATTCTACTCCAAATTCAAATCTATTCCTTTATTCAAATACTCCTCCTTTAAACCAATACCCCAAAATAAAAGTCCCTTTAAACTCCATTTCTAAAAATAAACCAAAAACCCCCACATGCATAGAGTCCATGAGGTATCTGCTAAAATTTATCTCCAAATCCCAAATAGTCTCCAAACTACATATCTCTTTGTTTTAACAACTTCTCTTTTTGATTCTATTAAAATCATCCCCTCCAAAAATTCAGAAAACTCTTCTGTTTCTTTTGAGCTGAAGTCCCTCCAACCGGTCATCTCCCTCCTGGGCTGATTCCATCCCCTTGCTCTCTGGGCCTTTCCGGCCTTCTCGCCCTCACACGGCCCAGCAAGGCCGTGGCCTGACTAAGTCGAGGCCCAGCGGAGCCAACTGCCTCCTTCCTTCTGGAGGGGGCACACTGCCGCCGCCACACTGACCGATCTCCTCTTCCCCTAGAGCGCATCTCGCCGTACCATGTCGCCACCAGCATCTCTCCACTCCGGCGAGTCCATTTTCCTCATTTCCCACTTCTCTCCCACCTCACATCAAGCCACCCCGGTGTTCTCTCTCTTAATGGACCAAGTTCTTGCCACCGGCGTTCCCAATTCTTCTCTTGCTTCCCACGCCGGTTGTCGACTTTCTCCATCGTGTCGTGTTCAAGAACACATCGAGGCACCACCATCGTGGCTGTTATGCCACCGGATGCTGACGTCATGTGCCCGCTCTTCCCCTTCCTGCTCGGCCTGAAGCCCTGAACCGAGGAAGAAAAAGAGGAACGGACGCAGCCGGGCGTGCGGACGTTGCCACTGCTTCATCCGATTGCGTGCGAACTCAAACGACGGACCAAAATCGTGTGTGACGATCAGATATATACAAATTTTTTAACTAGCTAAGATCTAGTTTTTAAGTCCATTTTCGGGTGATTACACCTTTTTTAACACCGGTATACAAAATTTTAGCTAATACTAAATTAATTGTGTGCTAATGAGTCGTTTCATTTTGCATGGTCAAGTGATTAGTTCTCATCCCTTTGGTTATGTTTAACACGAATATTGGACGTTTGGTATGTTTTCCAATCATTATAGGACACCAAAATTCTTGTAGTGTAGTTTGTCATGTTCATTATTATCATCAACAGCAAGTTTACATCTGTGCGAAACATCACAACTACTGCTTCAACTCCGTCAGTCGTGTCAGACAGAAAAAAACACACACTCGTGCTGTCTTTGGCTCTTTGCCACACTTTCAATGCGATGCGTCCGTTCGATGCGTCAAGCCATCCCAAGAATGGATCGGTTTCTCGGGCTCGGCGCGTGGGCCGTGAAGTCCATGGACCTGTTCCTTGGGCTCGGCAGCACGGGCCCATGGCTTGCGAGGTCCATGGACCGGTGTCTCGAGCTCGGCAGCGCGAGCCCGTGGCTCGCCAGGTCCATGGACCGGTGCCTCGGGCTGGGCACCACCGGCGGGTGGCCGGCGAGCTCCGTGGACCGGCTCCTCGGGCTGGGCGCGTGGACCGGCGGGAAGTCCAGCGGCGGCCTCGGGCACGGGCCCACCTTGGGCTCGCCGCGCGCCCACTTCTTGGTGCTCCGCCTCCGCATCAGCAGCTTCACCAGCTGTCCCACCTGGTCCCGCGCCTCTTGCTGCTGCCCCACGGTGCTCGCGCTCGTCGTCGTCGTCTGCTCCGCCGTCTCCTTCTTGTCATGCTCGCCGGCGGTGGCATTGCCGTGCGCCTCGTCTGCGGCGATGGCGTTGGAGTTGGGTACGGGCATGGCCGCCTCGGCGTCGAGCGTTGTGGTTGCTGGTGGTTCGGCGTGGTCGGCTTTCTTGAACTTCGCCGTGGTGCCCAGGGCGTCCACGGCGGCGACGACCCCCTCCGCTCTAGTGGATATCTCAAGCAGGAGAGAGGCGGCGGTGAAGAGCGGCAGCGCCTCGATGAGCGGCGGCGGCGGCGGCGGCGCGGTGTTGTGCTCGTGCTGCTCTGCCTCTGATGACGCGGCTTCTTCTTCTTCGTCGTCGTCCAGTATCTCGGCGAGGCATCTCAGCTCGTTCCTCAGGTCTTGGGCGGCGGCGTTCATGTCCCCGACGACGAGGGCGAGGCGGCCGGACCGCGTCATGGACGTGACGGAGCCCGACGCCTCGCGGAGCACGGCGGCGCAGTGCTGGCTCAGGGCGACGCAGGCGCCGGCGAGGTGCCTCTTGACGTGCGCCGGCGCCTGCCCGCCCGCGCCGACGCAGGCCGCGAGGGCGTCGATGCAGTAGGCGCAGCAGCGCATGGCGGCGCCGACATTCTGGTACTGGCCGTACGGGTGGCGGAAGCCGAACTTGCCATGGCCGGGCTCCCACCTCGCCAGGTTCGCCAGCGAGTCCTCCGACGCCTTGGCGTTAAGCACAGCCCTGTACCCGCGCGCCTTCTCCGACAGCGCCGTGGCGGCGTCGCCGCCACCGCCAGCGTGCTCGGCGGAGGAGAAGTAGTCGTCGACGCAGGCCTCGATGGCGGCGGCGAGCTTGTCCATGTTGCGCGCGACGAGGACGTGCAGCTCCTGCCCGGCCCAGACCGGGAAGACGAGCGTGCAGACGGCGAAGCAGATGAACGCTCCGATGGCGATGGTGATGAGGCGCTGCTGCGCCATGGTGACCAGCGTGTCGACGCGGTACCCCGACACGGCGACGAGGCTGTAGGTGAGGATGAAGATGGTGACGCCGTAGTCGAACCGCGCCTTGAGCGTGGGGATGAAGCGGGAGAAGGACGCCGCCGCGGCCAGCACGAAGAGCGAGGCGGTGAGGACGAACGGCTCCGCGTCGTCGCCAGACTTGTCGGCGACCCAGTGCACGCCGAGCGCCAGCGCGCCGCCGGCCACCGTCGCCATCGCCCTGTTCAGCCCCTTGTACATGCAGCCGCCGACGGTGTACTCGAAGACGACGACGACGGTGAGGACGGCCCACATGGCGGTCTGGCCGGTGAAGACGTAGAGCGGGCGGACGTAGTAGAAGGCGGAGCACAAGGTAAGCGCCAGCGCCACCTTGAACCCGTGCACCACCCTCCTCGGGTCGTCGGCGCCGACCTTCCACGCCGTCCTCCCGAACCTGGCCACCCACTTCCACGGCGCGGCCAGCCACCACAGCACCCACGCCGCCGCCGCCGGGGCGCAGCAGCACCCCCGCCGCGCGCCTTTCGCGTTCTCATGCTCCACCTCCGCCTCCGGCGCCTCCGCCACCGTCACCCTCCACTCCGCGCCGCCGGACTCGTGGTGCTGACCTGCCTCGCCGGCGGCCACCATTGCTGGGCTAGGCGATGACCTTTGTGTTGCTGTGGTTGGTTGCCTCTGTTCGATCAATGAAGCTCACCTCTCACCTTGGAATGATCGATGCTCTCGCATGGAGATCGTATATATAGGTGAGGTTCAGTCGTTCAGAGATTAAAAAATTGCGTGGCAGCTGACGTGGCTCACGTGCGACATCAACGCTTTTGGAGAAATATTTTTTTACTAATATAATTTAAGATTAAAAAAAAATCTGGGTACATCACCTGACAGCACGTTAGGGATGAGTGGTGTAAGCGCGTTGAAGCTGCATGCTGACTGGTATAGTAGTGCACGTACGTATAGGTCAAATGTAGGTCAAATGGCAAAGATACTGATCACCTGAGCTTATTATTAAACGGCTAAGCATAATTTAAGTGAGGTGATTAGTGATTGTGACGGTACATATTTTTGTGAGGTCAAACTGACATGATCATATGGATAAAGTAGGTTTAGTTAGTTTTGACTGATGCCAAGGTTATGTAGTTACATGGGGTCATTGAGGATCATAGCTTTGATGTTTCTTCCTTTTTCAGTGCCAGTTGATTCTACTCGTCATTCATTCTTAGGGCAACAGCAATGGTTATATATAGGCCGTATTTAGTTGTTTTGGCAAATTTCTTTTGTTGTATATGGACACACATTTAAAGTATTAAACGTAGACTAATAATAAAACAAATTACATATTTTGCCTGTAAACTGCGAGACGAATCTATTAAACCTAATTAATCCGTTATTAGCAAATGTTTACTGTATCACCACATTGTTAAATTATGGCGTAATTAGGCTCAAGAGATTCGTCTCGCAATTTATATGCAAAACTATGCAATTGTTTTTTTTCATCCACATTTAATGCTCCATGCATATGTCCAAACATTTAATGTGACGGAAAAGTTTGAAGTTTGAAGGAAACTAAACACAACCATAGTCAACCAGTCAAACTTGATAATATATAGTAAGGGTAATCAGTGGGCCGGATAGTATTCCCTCTGTTTCAAAATATAAAAGATTTTGGAGCGACATAACAGCTTCTTCAGATTTACCGTCATATGAAGTATCACGTTCCTTCAAAATCTCTTATATTATAGGACGGAAGGAGTAGGTAATACATGCACAATTATATGTGAACGCAAAATATGAACATGAGATGGTGCCGCTAAGAGGAAAGAAATCCCCCAGTCTCCTAAACCAGTGCACCCTACACATACGTGCATATGCTATACAAACAATATATTAATTAAGTTGCTTTTTGCTGGTAGTAGCTATATTACTGGTTATTATCAGCTTCCACGATGTTTGTTGTCAAATTAATAGAGTAGTAATTGGAAATATAATCATAGTTCATTATATTTTAATTTAGAAAAAAACAGATACTAAACAAAATATGTGAATAAATGGATGCTCGAGTGGTAGTGCTAAACATGAATATATTAATAACAAGAATAGCATCATCTATTAACATTTTTAACACCTAAGTGACAAGAGTGACATACCGGAGAATGCTCCGGATCCAAAGGCAATGGTGCTGGTGTTGCTGTTGTCGTCTCTTCCTTCATTGTTTGTTGACATGATCCGAGTTGTGGATGCAGAGGAAGAGTGTGACGCACAGGAAGTAGTGCCGAGAGCTGTCGCGCAAAAAACGTGCTCCTTGAAAACTTGATCACCCCACCTACCCAGACAGAGTTCTGGAGGCCCGCTCGTCCCAAACACTTGTGTGCACAACTGCTTAGGACCGAGGAAAGCCGGAGCAAGTGTAGAAACAGAAGAGCATAGTGTTTTGCGAACTGAGTGATCCTCTGTCTATACTGGGGTGGTGAATAACAAGAGAGAGAGAGAGTCGTTTTGGGAGGGATCAAACCTAGATCAAACCTAATTGATTATTCCGTCCGTTATGGCAATAACCAGTCTTTCGTCAGTTACATATTAGAGAGAGAGAGAGAGTATATGGAGAGTCAGAAAGATGAACTGAGGAGTGATGATCCTCTGTATATCTGTTGATAGAAAACACGAGGCCTGAGAGATCTGCTTAACTCCAGTGCAGGTCCAAAGCTCACCTTCGATTGTATGAGCGAGCCAGTTGATTTGATCCTGTAATCAACAAGAAATAGAGACAGCGTGGTTAAATCTATAAATGATAGCAGATCGGCTAGGTGCCGATGACATATCATTTATCTTTAAGCCGATGTCATATATGAATCGATCGGCGATTATAAATAGATAGTAAGGAACTAAATCTATTCGATCGGCTGTAGATATTAATGATATATAATTCTTATATTAATATATACTTAAATCAAGTGATTGGGATAGATCGGTCACCAAGCCGACACAGTATAAATTACTTAGATCGAAATATATATTAATAACAGGATTATATATGTTTATAGCATAGCCGATCAGATAGATCTAGCATGTATCGTCTAATACTCCGATACTACTTTATATAAAGATATCAAAACAAATATAATATACCAAACAAAAGCTTAATATACTTAAATGCAATAAGATCTTGACATAAAGGGCGGATTTAACATGTCATTGAAGCATATAGATCGAATATGATTAAATCAGATAAGATCGGCTGAAACTCCGATACTACCCTAATCGGCAACCAGAGGACATGCTAGAGATTGATATTCTAAGCACGACTTAATAGATCAAACTCAACTGATGCAGCATTAAGTGTGAAAAGAAGAACAATATCTAGACAATCAAGCCGCTGGGTGTTTCATAAAGTGGTAGATATCTTATGTAATCTAGGACAACGTCGCTATTTAACCTAATCGGCTGCCTTCTATTAACAGATGTTAGCCGATTGTAGGTTAGATGACGATATTGCCGAAGATTATGTAATATATATGATAACTTGACGAATTATATAGACAAGATTAGAGTGTCGTAAAGATGGAAGCACTAATCCCGAGAACACAAGCCGTCATAACAAGTTTTACCTCTTGTTGAAGATCGAAACCGATGCAGCTCAACCCGAAAGCAAGAACTCGTCGAAATAAAACTAAAGCAAAAAGGTGGCGATGCGCCGAAATGGTATTGAATGTGTGTTAAAAATTACATAGGGCTCGGGGTCTATTTATACCCGAGAATTACAAGATATGTCCATACCGGACACGACCACTATCTCTAACAAACTCTAAGATACCATAAGTCTTTGCGGCGGACTTTTGCCCAAATATATCTCTAAGGAAGTTATATAAAACATCCTAATTAATAGATACAATTGCCTTCTCAGGACTCTATCCATGTGCGGCAATCATCTTGAAGCACCTCAATTCAACCCAATGTCATACACCAAATTATACTGCCAGAATCGGCTGCATTGGCTTACCTAGTCCGACTCAGATCCAGCTGATCCTAATCGTAGCCGATCTGGACTTCAGCCGATTCTTGCTTTGTTCTCGGATCAATCTCCGCCTTCAACTCCACCTTGATATAATCTCCTTTTCCGATGCTGATATTACCAAATTTGGTCGTTAACACATGCCCCCCAAGTCCGGGATATTTGATAATGTTCCGGATTTACCGTGTACCGACTCCGAGCAAGTTTCGCACTCTGTCGTTTTCGACCGTTATTCTATCGCTTTAAATACCAACCGTTGCCCTAAAAAAATCTCACGGCGTGACTTCCGTTTTCACCGCCCAAGCGAAACTTTGTCCTTTCTCTCTCTGGCGATTCCTCCGACGCAAAAGCGATCCCCAGGCGATTTCGCTTTTGATCAGATCTCCGCCTGCGGCGATGTCGTCTTCCACTAGCCTGTCTACTGCGCCATCGGCCGAGTACACTGAGGTAAGTTCTCACCGGCTAGATCCCTTTTCCTCGCATGAAATCGATTTCTCCTTCTCTCATTATGTTTTCTGCTTCCCGATTCCTTTGGATTTGCAGCACCTTTCCAACCTAGTTGCGATTCCCAGCCTATCGCACAAAAACCACTATTTTCTTGGCCCAATCGGCAATCTTGACCCCACTGATTTCATCATTGGTGAAACCAACAGAATCCCCTTTAGACTAGCCAACCCTAACTTGGGTCACTGGAAGAATACTTTCAAGTCTTGGCCATCTCTCGAAAAGCCTACCCCTGATAAGAGCTGGACCACCTGGTACCAACGCATATCGGCTAGTAAGAAAACCCACTGGGATGAGATTGGGATCGGCCAAGCGCTTGCTCTCACCATAGCCAATTCTGCTAAGGATGAACCTCTGATGGCTGCCGCCACCTATTTCTGATCCAACACCATCAATGCCTTCTTATTTAACCAAGGGCCGATGACTCCAACTTTGATTGACATCATCATGATTACTAGATTAGATGTAACTTCATCGGCTAACCCTATGAGTATGAACACCAAGAACCAATTTGACTTCAAGACCAAAAGCATAGGAGGGTGGTCTGGTTATGTAGCAGCATACATGGGCAAAGGGCCTGCCACTCCTCGGGAGCACGTAGCTTTCTTGCTAATGTGGCTAGAAAAGTTTCTCTTCTATGGATCCAGCTGTGGTCCCACAACCAATTGGCAATTTGTAGCCGAAGCCTTAGAATCAAAGAAACAATTTCCCTTGGGCAAAATCCTTCTCGGCTATCTATACCAAATGTTGAACAATGCATCGGCTAAGATAGCCGTCGGCTCAATAGTTGGAGCAGGTGAACCATGGTGGCTACTGCAGACCTGGCTAAACCTGGTAGTCATGAAAGTTGTCAATCGGCCATCTGTAACAGAAGCTAAATTCCTGAGGTTAGAGCCAATTGTAGAAGACGATGGAGAAGAACGCACCCATCGCAGATGCATGTCATATGGAGAATATGCATCCACACCAGCCGATGCTGGGGCAAAACTATCGGCTGAGCTGCTCAAAGATTGGTTCTGCAGCTTTTATGATGGCTTCCAGAAAGATGCTCGGGTTTGGTTTCTTTATGAAGACTCAGCAGACCTTGAGCTCCCATTAGACTTCAGATTTGAAGACATCAATCATGAAAGATATCAAACGTCCAGGGAAATCTTTACAGCTGCAATCAGCCCATGCATCCTACCTGTCGGTATTCATCAAGGAAGAAATATCCAAGTCTCCTACGAATTCTATCACCCTATAAGTTCAGCTAGACAACTTGGATTAGGCCAACTCCCAATCGGCTTATTCTTTGCTGACAAGATCCAATGCCGAGGAGAAATTTCTTCAACTCTAATGATGGATCGACTGCTTAACCTCCAAGGACCTCCCTTAGGCAGTATCGACAATATTGAGTTAGCAGGATTCAGGAGCAGGAACTTTGATAGATGGTGGGGTGAATGGAAGTTGCATCTATTTCATCAATCGGCCACAATGTACATGACAGATCTATTCCCTGACGTCATACCCCAGGTAAACTTTGTCATCACTAAATTTCATAACGGTTAGCCGATTCATTACTTGACTAATCTTTTGTTCCTGTTTTGCAGACAACAGAATCCTCCCCTCCACATCAGAGCAATAGAGGTAGGAACATTGAATATGCCCCAGGTTTGATTCCTAATGGGGGCGGATTGTCTCCCCCTGTCATCGGCTATCACGCCCCCAAGGTCTCAACCCTCCTCCAAGGTGCCATCAGGGAACCAACCGATGTAACCAAGAAAAGAAAAACTAGATCATCGGCTGTGAGCACGTTGACTCTAGCTCCAAAGAAAAAGGCCAAGTCTAAGAAAACCAAGCCAACCGACGACCTGCCTGCTTTGGATCCATCCATTGAACAAGCTCTGGATGAAGAAGATATTGAGGATGATGTTGATCAGGCTACAGCCGAAGTAAGTGATACTGAAAAAACACCATCGGCTTCGCCTAAGCAGACACCTTCAACTCCTTATGCCCCCCACTCACTTCTTTAGAGTAAAACATCTTTCCTTGCAAACCCTTTTGTAATCATTATTTTTTAGCCGACTACTCATAGATTTCGTAGTTGCAAAAGAAGAAAACTGCTATAAAGAAGAAATCGGCAGCACTAATTCTCAAACCAGCTCCACCAGTAAGACACTCTCAATTTTACTAGTTGATTTCAGCCGATTTTGTCTAACACTTGTCTTTTTATAGCCTCCTCCTCCTCCTTCTTCTCCTGTACAACAATCATCGAGTGACCGAACTCCATCAGCCGTGGGGAGTCATCATATTGTGGAAGAAGAACAACCGGCTGCTCTTGCTATCCTAGTAAGTTTTCCTTTGATGCAATAATTTAGATCGGCTATATTGACTTAGCTCTTCAAACTTTCTGAACTTATACCTGCAGGTTCTAGCCGATCTGTTTTCTTTTTATATTAAAGATTATCTTAATGAGGCAGAAGAAGATACTTCAAGCAAAGCTCTAGCTCCCTTATCTGACGATGCAAAGAAAACACTTGAAAATATCTCGCGTCGGCTAGAGACCTCTTCTCTGGATAGCTTAGTAGTCGACTGTGGATCGATTAGGACACGATTGCACGAAGTTCAAGCTCTAATTCCTGAAGAAATGGCCGATGTCCTAACTCCAGCTGCTTATCTTGAGCAACATCAATTTAAACTAGAAAAAGCCAAGCTAAGATTAGCCAAACGCCGTGAGCGCAAGGAGATTGAAGCTACAATCCAAGTCAATCGGCAGCTTGTGCATGAAGAAAAAGTCAAACTCGATCAACTATCCGAAGGTCTGATCAAATCAAATATCGATCGGCTTGAAGCCCGCAAAATCGATCTCTTGGCACAGCTTGAAGAATGCAATGCTGAATTGGATATGGAGCACAAAAAGCTAGCCGATCTCCCAAAATCTGTCGAAGAGCAAAAAGCAAGGCTCAAATCGGCTATCAAGAATGTTGCTGACCTAACCAAGTCCCTGAAGATTATTTCTAGGACTGATGCTCAAGATGCCCAAGCCATTGAAGAAGTCGAACAAATTAGGCAAAGAGCTTTTTTGGCTATCCAGCAGTACTTGTCTCAATAACTTTTGTGTAATAGGACTTAGAAATTCTAATTCTAACAATCCTTAACTTATACCCTGCTGTTTTAACAATCCTTTGTGCCGATTAACATAACTTCTAATTTTCACTTTTCATTTTTTGTATATATGTGCCCCCCAATTTTATAATGTCAACAGCATCGATAAAATTAGAAAAACAACTAAGGGTGATATAACAATATCGGCCGTTTTATATCGGCAAACCATAACCGATTACAATTGGAAAAACGACTAAGGGCGATATAACAATATCGGCCATCTCAAGACGATGTAAAACACATCGGCTGTCATGCATCAGCAACACTAGCCGATCATGCGTCAACCCAAACACTTGGGTAATACTTCTTCAAGTATTTGCCATTGAGCGCTCGTCCATAAACCTCACTATCAAGCCCTAAAACATATATGCCCCTTTAGACACAACCTTATAGATTTGAAACGGTCCTTCCCAATTTGGTGACCACTTGCCGAACTTGTTATCCCGAGTTCCAATCGGCAAAATCAACTTCCATACAAGTTCACCTTCCGAAAAATCCTTAGGCACTACTTTCTTGTTATAATGCCTACCAACTCATTCCTTATCTTTGGTAACCTTAGCAAGGGCTCGTAAACGCGATTGAACCAAGTCCTCCCTCTTATCGGCCATAAGGTTATAATACTCATCGGCTGTCAAACCGTCTTGCAATTCTATCCTTCTAGAGCCGATTCTAACTTCCCATGGCAAAACAGCTTCATGTCCATAAACAAGCTTATAAGGAGGAACTTGAATTGATCCATGACAAGCCATCCGATAAGACCACAATGCTTCGGCCAACCGGGTATGCCATTGCCAAGGATAATCAGAAATCTTCCGCTTAATTAATTTGATCAAGCTCTTATTAGATGCCTTGGCCTGCCCATTAGCTTGTGCATAATATGGTGAAGAATTCAATAATTTGATACCCACGCTATCGGCAAACTGAACAAATTCATCGGACACGAAGATTGAACCTTGATCAGTTGTAATAGTTTGAGGAATACCAAATCGGTAGATTATATGTTCTTGAACAAATTGAATTGCATCCCCAGAATCAACTTTCTTCAAAGGAATGGCCTCCACCCACTTGGTGAAATAATCAGTCGCCACCAATAAAAACTTATGCCCTTTACTTGATGGTGGGTCTATCATACCGATCATATCAATTCCCCAACCTCTAAATGGCCACGGTTTAATAATAGGATTCATAGCCGATGCCGGCGCTCGTTGAATTGCCCCAAACTTCTGACAATCTTGACACCCCTTATAATATCTGAAGCAATCCTCCAGCATTGTCGGCCAAAAATACCTTGCACGCCGAAGTAGCCACTTCATCTTATGGGCCGATTGGTGAGTGCCACAAATTCCTTCATGAACTTCGCCGATTGCAACTTTAGCCTGATCGACACTCAAGCACTTAAGTAACACTCCATCAATCGTCCGATAATAAAGCTCATCATCCAATAGAGTGTACTTCAACGCCTTATATCTTAATTTCCTAGAAGCCGATTGAGATGGATTATGTAAATATTGATGCACATCATACCTCCAATCATCGGCTGTTATTGCTGCAATTTCAACCTTAACATCTTTGATCATCGGCTTTGTCGGTGACATGGGACCGGGAGTATCATGACTAGAGGATTGAGCAGGCGCGATCACCCACGTGGCCTGACCCCCTCGGGGGGGTCGGGCCCGAGGGTGGTATGACCGCCCCTCTTTAAGTCTCCCCGAGGGGTCGGACCGCTCCCGTTTCGGCCCCGAGGGCCGGGGCGCCCCGACCCCTTGTGGATTTTGCACCGCGTGTATGGGTTAGGTGAGCACAGTGGGGCTCACCTAACCACATTTATTGCGGTTTGGCTGAGCGTGTCACGCCGCATGTAACGCAGTGCAGTGCACTCGTTTATCCGGTCTGTGACCAGTCACAGACCGGTCAGATCGCGGGTTAGGTGGCGACAGGCGATCTGACACACGCCTCGCCCCATCCCGTCAGGACGAGGGCTTCTAGGCGCTCGTCCCCAGCTGGAGCTAGCGTGTTACCTCCCAGAGATGGCACGTTAGTCCTGGTCAGATATATGCCAGGCTTCATCCTAACCATTACAGGCAAGATGTTGTGTGAAGAAGGGCGAGCATGTAGATTGCTAAGCTGACGCGTGGTGGACAAGAATGACCGACGTGACTGGTCTGATACCGGTCATGTCGTCAGCAGACAGCCACAATTCCACGTCGCGCCTGCTTCCGGCGGAAGTGGAGGTAGGTATGGGCTGTCCCATCAGAAGGTCATTCGGACGGCAACCATACAAGTCTCCGTCTGTTTATGAAAAGGTGGGGTAAGTCCCCACAAAAAAAGAGAGAAATGGTGCATGTGGTATCCCCTTAAGATATAAAAGGAGGACCTTGCCCACTGAGAAAGAGACTGGACTTTTCCAGATTAGAAACCCAGAACAAGGGAGAGGCTGGCTCATACTTTGTAGCTCCTTTATACACAGATCTCCCAAAACACAGGAGTAGGGTATTACGCTTCTCAGCGGCCCGAACCTGTATACATCGCCCGTGTCTTGTGTGTTTCCGGTCTCGCGAGCCTTCCACATACAGAGAGCTTAGAATCTCTCCCTGAGTCCCCGGCCGAACCGGCAAAGGGGGGCCTGCGCGGTCTCCCGGTGAGGAGCCCCACGCTCCGTCAGGCTTATACCCCGATGCCCCTTGGGCCAAATCATTAGCTTCAATATTTTGTTCTCGAGATACATGCTTTAAAGTAACCAGCTGAAATTCCTTCATCAGTTCCAAAAGTGTGTTGATAGAAAACACAAGGCCTGGGAGATCTGCTTAACTCCAGTGCAGGTCCAAAGCTCACCTTCGAATGTATGAGCGTGCCAGCTGATTTGATCCTGTAATCAACAAGAAATAGAGACAAAGAATTCGTGGTTAAATCTATAAATGATAGCCGACCGGCTAGGTGCCGATGACATATCATTTATCTTTGAGCCGATGTCATATATGAATCGATCGGCGGTTATAAATTGATAGTAAGGAACTAAATCTATTCGATCGGCTGTAGATATTAACGATATATAGTTCTTATATTAATATATACTTAAATCAAGTGTTTGAGATAGATCGGTCACCATGCCAAGACAGTATAAATCACTTAGATCGAAATATATATTAATAACATGATTATATATGTTTATAGCATAGCCGATCAGATAGATCTAGCATGTATCGGCTAATACTCCGATACTACTTTATATAAAGATATCAAAACAAATATAATATACCAAATAAAATCTTAATATACTTAAATGCAATAAGATCTTGACATAAAGGGCGGATTTAACATGTCATTGAAGCATATAGATCGAATATGGTTAAATCAGATAAGATCGGCTGAAACTCTAATACTACCCTAATCGGCAACCAGAGGACAGGCTAGAGATTGATATTCTAAGCACGACTTAATAGATCAAACTCAACTGATGCAGCATTAAGTGTGAAAAGAAGAACAATATCTAGACAATCAAGCCGTTGGGTGTTTCATAAAGTGGTAGATATCTTATGTAATCTAGGACAACGTCGCTATTTAACCTAATCGGCTGCCTTCCATTAACAGATGTTAGCCGATTGTAGGTTAGATGACGATATTGCCGAAGATTATGTAAGATATATGATAACTTGACGAATTATATAGACAAGATTAGAGTGTCATAAAGATGGAAGCACTAATCCTGAGAACACAAGCTGTCATAACAGGTTTTACCTCTTGTTAAAGATCGAAACCGATGCAGCTCAACCCGAAAGCAAGAACTCGTCGAA